GTGGCTTTCTGACAGATTCATAATACAACCTGTTCTGGATTGAGAACTAGAGCGAATTCGTCCAACGGTGCGAGAATTGGATATGCTCTTTCAGCTGATGAACAGTGAGAAGCACCGTTGGAAGAATTCGCTCTAGTTCTCAATCCAGAACAGGTTGTATTATGAATCTGTCAGAAAGCCACGCAAGGTATGTCTGGAAACTCCCTGCTTTAAGCAAAATCACACACTTCAATACCCCCTTTTATATAAAAAGTTGTAAAAACAGAAAACACGCAGTAAGACGCGCGTGTGAATAGAACATCTTAGAGCTCTATTTATTTCTCCGAACCATAGGTAGTTTCACTTTCAAAAGTTTTATCGGAGATGCACTGCACGGAACTTTGCAAAGATTGTTTTACGCATAACTTAAAAATTCGATATCTCGGAAACAAAGACCTGAGAGCATGAATCCTGTTGAGGTTTGTCATACCTCATTGAGGTCTACTTATGACCAAAAGATGGAGTCAAAAGAAGTTGGACATGTGAATAGGTTCCCTCGTCAGAAGTCATAGAATAAAGAAGCAAACATCAGTTTTGTCTAACGGAGATGATCGAAACACATAGCATTGTTACTGTATATATTTCGATCATTTGTCAGCTCAGATGGTTATGTGTTTGCTTCTTAATTCTAGGTACCCACGTTCGAATCATACTGAAGTCATGTAAGTACCAGTTGTTTTCTTTCTCTACTTTGCCACTCTACTAGATTGTATAGTCGTTTGTATGCATATCTATGCATAGACACATATACATTATATGCATAGATATGCATACAGACATACACCAGAATTTAATTTGGTGTTGAATTCATTTTTTAATTTTAATTTTAAACGCGTTTGCATTCGTTGAAAACCAACGCGTTGATGTGCGTTAATTGCGAACGCGCTTATCAGGATGAATTTTGACCGTTTCAACGCGTTGAAACGGTCAAAATTCATCCTGATAAACGCGTTAGAAACTAACGCATATCAATGCGTTTTTTTGCCAGAAAAGGTTTGCCTGGGTAGTTTGTCGTCAAAAAGTATTCTTTGGAACAGACTTGGGGCGTTTGAAGAAAAGCGTAGTAGAATATTTGTGTTTACTGTACCTGAACAAGTTGCGGCTGTTGTTCTGGCGGTTGTTTGAGGCGCTACAATTAAAAAACAAAGACTTGTTTTTACCGGACATTTAACAAAACTACTGTTTCAGTTTGACAACATAGCTGAATAGCATTTTAAGCGGGAGTACATAAGCTGGCAACTGAATTATATAAGCTTACAACTTAGGTTTCTGTAGGAATCGAACAAGAGAATATCCCTGAATGACCGACCTCCCTGGTAATACAAAATGGAATCAACCGTTCTGCTTAGTTTTTCACTTTGACTTCATATTTGATACTTTAGCCTACCCTGTTAACAAGTTAAAAAGGAACGGACAAAAACTGTTTTCATGTATACGTATGAGACAGGCGTGAAATATTATACCCGCATAGAATAGCATGTATAAAACATGGAAATGGCAGATTTACGACAGCTCGTGTATTTTTGGTACACGGTAAAGTATTGGTAAAGTTCCAGTTCGTACAAATTAAGCTATAAAAAAACAAGCTATAAAAAACATTATTCTCTATAGATTCTAACACATCTCTGTGTATCTTATACATTTCCACTTTCTGATACATAACGTCATCTACAGATATCGACTACAAGTGGAAATCCAATGAGATTAGAACAAACTTTTTAACGAGTATTGGAAAACAGTAAATGTATAAATCAAAAGAATACAGAGGTATAGTATTTGCGATTAGATAAAATGATTTCATAATCTTTGAGTTTGCAGCAAACAAAAACTATGCATCTGTGATAGAAGCAGACATACACTGAAAACATACTGCTCAAATTTTACCGTCCCAGCATATGTTATTGGAAGTTATAAGAAAGCTGATGCGCGGTACGTTTCTACAATAATTTGAAACGTGCAAAATAGATATACGTAACGCTCAAAAAGTATAATTTGTTGTTCTCTGCGATTTCAGCAGCATCTACAGACCACGTCTGCTAGTATCTTCGCACAAACTTTGAAGCATATAGATAAAAAGATCGCATAGGGGCTGCAAACGAGACAGGTAGCACATTGCAGAATTAGGCTCGTATTTCATTTTTCTTATTGATTATTTTAACCTCTAAGTTTTCGAATTTAGTTTTTTATACTCAACTTTGTGTGGGCAATCCGAATAAAGTGGTCTAGACCATTGAAAAGAAAGATAAACAATATAAAAATTCTACAGTAGAGTTTACATTTAGACCACCAGATTGTAATAACGAGCTCTTTCTATTGCCATTGATTTAATGGCTTTTATGGACATGAAACCAAGCAAAAGCATAACTGCATTGATTACTGTAGTGTAAACATCTTGTCTCATACCTGAAGTTGTTGATATCGTTGCACTATTATTTCCAGGACATACTTGTTGACTGGCCAATGCTAACGGGTAACAAACTGGTTGATTACATCGCGTATTATTTACACACAGTGTATTTGGTATAGAGCACGTAACATTATCTATATTACAACGTGTCAGATTTCTACATGGTAGTGATATATCAGCACAAATTGTACCACCACCATTTGTCATTGATAAACAGTCACAATCAATATTTGTTGAGCATAAAGTACGATTCGAACCACATTTGGATAGAATGCAGAAAGCTTTATAAAAAGACAAAAGAGTAAAATAATAATCTAACATGGTCTACTCTCTAGAAAAAAAAAGGATGCAGACTGAACCGTCATGGGTTGTCTTTTAGATAGTAACGTCATTTCATGGCTGATTGTTATGTGATATATTCATATACCAAAGGTTAGAAGACTGTAGATGAATAGATCAGTACAGCAGATAGCACCGAGTTATTAGCTCGCGGGGAATAAATATCAGGTTAAAAATTTAGAACTGTCTCGAGCTGAACGTCTCAAACTTGTGATTCTGTTTTGGTCGTGAGCTCGATTAGGTTTGTGAACAACACTACACTTCAGGCCTATATGATGTTTATAAAAAAGAAATTTTAATGCCATCTTAACTCCAAATGGTTTCACTGCATATTATTCGTCTTGGGTGAGAAACTAGAGAAAAACGAAGAGGATGAACTTATAATTAATGTGTTTGCTGTCCTGGCTATTATTGAACTTTCTTTCTGCGCTTTGTTTTTTAGTAACTGAGTTAATTGCTTATATACATTTGAGGACACGAAAAAATTCCGGTCTTGGATATATTGTCTTAGTGATAGCTGTGGATTCTTGATGGGATTAGGAATAAGTTTCACCATTTAACTGTTATGTATTAATTTTGGCTGAAACACTACGATAAGAGAAAAAATTGTAAAACACGTTTCTCTCTAAGCACCAAAGGTAGAAAAATTATCTCGACAACCAACTAATCATGGTATATCTGAAAAACTTTCAGGAAATGATTGTAGCTGAGCTAAAATTTCACTGAAAGAGAAAATTTCTAAAAATCCCGCTTACCTTCGGTTTAGATCGAACTAACTGTTTTTTTTGTGCCGCGTACTCAGGGAAAAAAATTTCCTTTGTGAGAATTTGCAGAATATACAATTCTGCACTTATTTCACATATCAATTGATTAAAACGACTATTACGAAGGTTTTCTGATTTTGTCTGCAGACAAAATCAGAAAACCCGCATGAATAGTCGTCAGAAAAAGTCCTAAATATCGACAAGTCCTCGTCATGACGAGGACTTGTCGATATTAAGTTGTTTGTAATTCGGACGGTGCATGAAACCATGAGCTTAGTTCATCATTCTTTACCAAAGAAAGAACAGGTACTTTATTCTGACGCGCCTATCATTTTAACGGTTTAACGTTTACATTCTGTCAAATGTAACACCAGTGTTTATATAACTCAAACAAGTGTTTGTATGATTATTTTCCTCCACTATTTTCCACATATTTTGGATAGATAAAAGTTTCATTATTATGCCATCTGTAAAATAAAGAGTTCAGCTTTCGAATAAAAAATATTTTTTTTTAACGTTTTATAAGTTTAAACTTGGTACCATCGTGAACTATGAGGAAAATTCAGCTTTCTACGCTCAAATTGCAACAAAAAGCTGAATAACATCTCGTTAATAGTCAAATATTTATAGCTTTGAATTTTTAGGAGTAAATCTAAGTTCTACAATAGGTTCATGAACCCCCGTCTTATAACAAATTTCAGTTAAACTCCAGAAAGAACTTCACTTCTGATTCCATAAAACTATTTCCAGTTTTCTTTGTTACGATAATCTTGATAAATGGTAAGACTATTTCTATGGGGTCAACCACAAGCGTTCACAGTAACATACAATTTAGTTTTAGTTTACAGATACATACGTGTCATTGTCGACGATATGATGGTTCTTAGTGTTGTTTTACTACTGGTACCTAAAATAATTTTAAAATTACTGTATACAATGAGTCAGATAAGTACTCATATCATGCAAAATCTTGCTTGTAAGATCTCTGAATAGAAGAGAGTTAGACAAATTATGCTTTTATCGTTACAGAAAGCAAGGTCTCAATCACATTTTTATTTAGATAAAAATTTTAAAATGAGTTTCGTGGAACCTATAATAAGCATTCGTTAAGTATGAGCCATTTTTTAAAGCCAAACAAGTGTTTGTATGATTATTTTCCTCCACTATTTTCCACATATTTTGGATAGATAAAAGTTTCATTATTATACCATCTGTAAAATAAAGAGTTCAGCTTTCGAATAAAAAATATTTTTTTTTAACGTTTTATAAGTTTAAACTTGGTACCATCGTGAACTATGAGGAAAATTCAGCTTTCTACGCTCAAATTGCAACAAAAACCAGTTCTACATATGTTGTTGGAAAGAGCGAGATTTTATATTAGAAAGCTGAATTTATCATCTTTCGAATGGTATGAATGAAATTATTATTGTCCCAAGACATGAATTGTAGAGAAAAATAATTAAATTTTAAACTAAATAAAAATATGGCTGAGGCTTTGCTCTTTGTAGATGAAAACCCACTGTAAAGCTGAGTGGTATTGTTCACAAGAGAATCGCGTAAGCAAGCCAAAAAAATGTCAATGTGTTACCGTTCGTTCTCTGCAACAGAATATCACAAAACTTTGGTTCGCATCTAGTTCTGTAAAAAATAAACAGTGGTACAAGATGAGCTCTTTCATAATTTTCAGATGTGTGCTGTTGACATGTTCTGAGTCATCCGAAGACATAGTGTTAACTGCGTCTATAACCCATAGCGTTTCTTAGAAACCGAAAACTTACTCTTCTAACCTATCTAAAAAAATTTTAATCCACTTTATGCTAGACTAGACATACTTGAAGATGTTTGATTTCTTTTGGTTGATGTTGTTGTTGCCCGGGTGGTGGTTGTGGTGATCGCTATAATAAAGTATTTATAACTCAGTGTTACATATTTTAAACAAATAACAAGCAATACACTTACTACATCTGGTATTATCAACAGTGAACATTTGTACCCGATTATTTGCTTTGTCAACAACATATAAATTTCCAGTCAAATCTAACTTTAAGCCAACTGGTGAGTTGAATGATACAGCATCAGTACCGCTCACTTGGGTGCCCACTAGATGGATTCCTGACACACCTCCTGCCTTCCATTGCTGAATACGATTGTTCCCTGTGTCAGCAACATAAATATTACTCTGAATATCAACAACAACTGCAGATGGATAGGACAACTGATCTAAAAACAGACCATTACCGCGGCCGCCAGCGACAGTGACACCAGTCGAACTGCCACGAGACCACTTTTGTATACGATGATTATTCGTGTCTGCGATGTAAATACTACCACTTCCATCTACATAAATACCCTGTGGAGAATCCAATTGATCATTCCTATTCCCTTGACCGTTTCCACCACACACGACAACACCATCGGACAAACCTTGGGGCCATAGAAATACTGAATGATTGCCAATATCTGATGCATATAAATTAAAACTAGCATCGACATAAATACCAAACGAATATACGCCAGAAGCTATGGCAACACCAGTTTGTTCAACAAAAGTAAATTTTAGTATACGATAACTGTTAACATCCGAAACATAGAGATTTTCAAAATTATCAATAAAGAGACTTGTGGGAGAGGCTACAGAAATCGTAGAGACTCTCGAGCCTGAAGTCCATTTTGAGATGAAACCATTTCCAAATTCCGCCACATAAATATTATTCGAAGCATCAACAACCACATCAAGTGGCTGACTCACAAGAACGTCATAACGACCATAATAATAGTTATAGCTAAGAGGTGTCATAGTTTGTCCACTTGCCGCCCATTGCGCCACTGCACATACATGGATATCCGTGGAATTTGGTTGAGCTAAAAGATGACCAGAGAAAATAAACGTGTAACATGACAAAACTATCTCCAAAATGATTGACCGGACGGATACGAAACTTGGGGTCTGAGGATTTCAAGTCATGCTCTTTCTTTTAGTAAGCGGACATTTTTTTCGAAAAGCTCCAAAAGTAGGGTTCCTAGAAAACCAGGGTTTTTAAGCTATAAAATGAGGTTTTATAAAGACGTTGCGACAGAAAGCTTTTTTGAATATGATATTCGAATTCAGTGTTGAAAGATGGATTTAAAATAGAAAAATTAAGTCTATAACTCAAACTCCCGATTTTTAAAACAAACTTTAGTTTTTAAAAAAGGGAGCTTTTTTAAAACCTCTATAGCGCAGCTCAGATAGGTGATAGAGAGCTCGTTCAAACGGCATTGAAAGAGTATTAAAAAGTGTACAAACGTAGGGATCT